TGATGAGGTTTGTCAGCAGAACATCCACTGAGGTGGACTCTGTGACATCAGTCAGGATCTCCTTGTTCTGGAAGTCCAGAGGAAGACAACTCTCATCCAGACCATCAAAGATGAACAGAACCTGGAAGTGATCAAAGCTGCAGATTCCTTTGGTTTCAGTGAAGAAGTGATGAACTAGTTCCACCAAGCTGAACTTTTTCTCTTTCAGCACATTCAGCTCTCTGAAGGTGAATGGAAATATGAACTGGATGTTCTGGTGGGCTTTGCCTTCAGCCCAGTCCAGAGTGAACTTCTGTGTTAAGAATGTTTTCCCAATGCCAGCCACTCCCTTTGTCATCACTGTTCTGATTGGTTGATCTCTTCCTGGACGTGGTTTTAAAATGTCTTCTTGTCCGATTGTTGTTTCCGGTCTGCTGGATTTCCTTGATGATGTTTCAATTTGTCTGACCTCATGTTCATCATTGACCTCTCCAGTCCCCCCCTCTGTCATGTAGAGTTCTGTGTAGATCTGGTTCAGAAGAGATGGGTTTCCTGCTTTAGCGATCCCCTCAAATACACACTGGAACCTCGTCTTTAGACCAGACTTTAATTTATGTTGACAGACTGAAGCAAAATGTTCTAAATAAAAAAAAAAGCAAAATCAGAAAACAAATCTGTGTATGGTTTGTTTTTGTTTGTCTTTTTTGGTTTTCTTATTTTACCTCAAACTAAAAGCAGCACCTTAACGTGGTGGAGGGGTTTCAGTGCCTGGGTGATCCCAGAGGCTATGTTGCCGGGGCCTAAATGCCCCTAGTAGGGTCTCCCAAGGCAAACAGGCTCTGGGTGACAGGTCAGACTAACAGCGGTTCAAAAACCCTTATGACAAGAACCACATCGAGGCACGCGACGTTGCCCGGTACAGCGGAGCCGGGACCCCACCCTGGAGCCAGGCCTGGGGTTGGGGTTCGTCAGCGAGTGCCTGGTGTTCGGGTTCTTCCTCGCGGGACCCGGCCGGGCCCAGCCCGAAGGAGCAACGCGAGGCCATCCCCCAGTGGGCCCACCACCTGCAGGGGGAACCATGAGGGACCGGTGCAAAGAGGATTGGGCGGCAGCCAGAGGTGGAGACCTAGGCGACCTGATCGGGTGGAATGTCACCTCACTGACAGCGAAGGAGCCGGAGCTTGTGCAGGAGGTGGAGCTAGAAATAGTTGGGCTCGCCTCCACACACAGCCGGGGCTCTGGAACCCAGCTCCTTGAGAGAGTGTGGGCTCTCTTCTACTCTGGAGTGACCCGCAGGGAGAGGCGGAGGGTGGAGCTGCTTGTCTCCCCCCAGCTCAGCCATCTCGTGTTGGAGTTCACCCGGTAGACGAGAGGGACGCATTCCTTCGCCTTCGGGTTGAAGGGAGGACTCTGACAGTTGTTTCGGCCTATGGGCAGAATGGCAGTACGGAGTACCAGGCCTTCTTAGCATCCCTGGGGAGGGTGTTAGAAAGCACCCCTTCCGGGGATTCCATCGTTCTACTGGGAGACTTAGACGTCCACATGTGAAACGACAGTGACACCTGGAGGGGCGTGATCGGGAGGAGGGAACCCCTTGCTCTGAACCTGAATGGTGTCTCATTATTGGACTTCTGTGCAAGTCACAGATTGTCCATAATGAACACCATGTTCAGGCATAAGGATGTCCATCGATGCACCTGGCACCAGGACACCCTAGGCCAAAGGTCGATGATCGACTTTGTATTCGTATCTTCTGATCTTCGGCCGTATGTTTTGGACACTCGGGTGAAGAGAGGGGTGGAGCTGTCCACTGACCACCACCTGGTGGGGAACTGGATACACTGGAAGAGGAGGAAGCCTGAAAGACTCGGCAGGCCCAAACGAGTAGTGACGGTCTGCTGGGAACATCTGGTGGAACCCTTGGTTCAACTCTCACCTCTAGGAGAGCTTCTCTCAGGTTCCGAGGGAGGTTGGAGACATGGAGTCCGAATGGGCTAAGTTCTCTGCCTCGATTGTCGATGCGGCTGCCCGTAGCTGTGGCCGTAAGGTTTGCGGTGCCTGTCGTGGTGGCAATCCCCGAACCCGGTGGTGGACACCGATAGTAAGGGATGCCGTCAAGCTGAAGAAGGAGTCCTATCAAGCCTGGCTGGCTTGTGGGACTCCTGAAGCAGCAAGCAGGTACCGTGAGGCCAAGCGTGTCGCAGCCCGGGCGGTTGCCGAGGCAAATTCTGGGGCCTGAGAGGAGTTCGGAGAGGCCATGGAAAAAGACTATCAGTTGGCCTCACAGCGATTCTGGCAAACCGTTCGGCGCCTCCAGAGGGGAAAGCACTGCTTCGCTAACACTGTTTTCAGTGGGAGTGGGGAGCTGCTGACCTTGAAGGAGGATATTGTCGGACGGTGGAAGGAATACTTTGAGGATCTCCTCAACCCGACAGACACACCTTCCGTGGGGGAAGAAGAGACAGGGTGCTTGGGGCTGGATTCGTTCATCACCCAGGCTGAAGTCAGTGAGGTGGTCAAAAAACTCCACGGTGACAAGGTTTCGGTGGTGGACGAGATCCGCCATGAGTATCTTAGAGCTCTGGATGTTGTCGGGCTGTCATGGCTGACACGTCTCTTCAACATCGCGTGGAGGTCTGGGACAGTTCCCCTGGATTGGCAGACTGGGGTGGTGGTTCCCCTCCACAAGAAGGGACACCGGAGGGTGTGTTCCAACTATCAGGGAATCACACTTCTCAGCCTCCCCGGAAAGGCCTATGCCAGGGTGCTGGAGAGGAGAGTCCGGCTGATTGTCGAACCTCGGCTGCAGGAGGAGCAGGGTGGTTTTCGTCCTGGCCGTGGAACAGTGGACCAGGTTTACACCCTCTGCAGGGTTCTTGAGGGTTCATGGGAGTTTGCCCTACCAGTCCACATGTGTTTTCTGGACTTGGAGAAGGCATTCGATCGTGTCCCTCGTGCTGCCCTGAGGAAGTGCTCCAGGAGTATGGAGTTAGGGGCCCTTTACTAGGGGCCATCCGTTCTCTGTACAAGCGGAGCAGGAGTCTGGTTCGCATTGCCGGCATTTAGTCGGACCTGTTCCCCGTGCATGTTGGACTCCGACAGGGCTGCCCTCTGTCATCGGTCCTGTTCATAACTTTTATGGACAGGATTTCTAGGTGCAGCCAAGGACCGGAGGGGTCTGGTTCGGGGACCAGCGGATCATGTCCCTGCTTTTTGCGGATGACATAGTTCTGCTGGCTCCCTCCTGCCAAGACCTACAGCGTGCGCTGGGGCGGTTCGCAGCCGAGTGTGAAGCGGCCAGGATGAGAATCAGCTCCTCCAAGTCCAAGGTTCTCGACTGGAAAAAG